TGCGTAATCGTAAGTAAATGTTAATGTTGTAATTCTAATGAATAAAACAGAAATATGCATTCTTTGATTTATGCGTTTATTGGGATTACCTAAAAGTAAAAACCGAGTTGTCTATTGGATGAATAATTCGCCAAAATTCACTGTATATACGAGTACAGTGTGACCAACTTAAGATGGTAGCATCGCTATAATATCCATAATTTCAACCTATTTCAAATATTCCTTTTTTATTATGCGGAACACCAAAAAATATACCTTTTTCTAAATATGTACACATAAACATTAATTTTCAAGGCACTCTATATCCAAAATTTTAATAAAAAAGTTTAAAGAAACAACAATTTTTTTAATAAAAGTATAATATGTTTTACGTAGATTCCAGACAAATTTTGAAAATTGGCAACAATGTCAATACAATGTAAGTTTTCTATTGAAAAACTCTATATTTACTTATCATTTAATTACTCATTTAATTTAGTGATTGAAAAAAAAAATAAATCATGAACAAAACATTCAGTTTATAAAATAAAATAAATATGTCATAAAATAGGAGCGACTGTTTCCCTTCGGAAAACAACTGCTCCTTTGGCTAATACCTCAACAGGTATTTAATTATATTCATAGGAAAGACAGCAGAGATTATAAATTAAATTTCAACATTCTACCTTTGGTTTTGCTGATTCAATACCTGTTGAGGTATTAGCCAAACAAGTAGTTATTTTTTCGGAAGGGAAACGGTCGTTCCTATTTTGTGACATATGACTTTGAGTTTTATTTATTTTTTTACGTCTTGGTCACATTTGAGTTATTTTCCTTATTTAGGTTATACATTCGAACGAATCATTTATACATAACACAAAAAGTAGGGGCTTTAGATTTTACCCTTGAGGGACATCTGATATAATGCAGTATCTAATGTATAAGAAACCACTGCAAACTCAAACGAAAAAGAACCTTATATCGTCAGGAACTTCTTTTTGTATCTTCCACAGAATTGAAATAAAGTGTATTGAAATAAAGGTATTAAGTAAATGTACATAAAAAATAAACATTTTATATTGCAACATTCTCTCGTTGCCCGTTTTTTCTATTCAATTATTCTTGCAATCCTGGATTAATAAAAAGAGGCAGAGGCCAGAGTCAGACGAACGCGGAAATACGAGATACCTCATATTCTCATAACGGAACAATGCAACCGCGATGGCGCCCATAGCGCTGGTAGGACCTGTTCCTGTCGGCGCTAGGACTGACGACAGTCGACGATAGGACCGGCGCTAGAACAGGCGTCTACCGGCGCTTGTAGGACCGGCGCACCGGGAAATCTCCCGGTTTCCCGATGAGCTCATCCGCTCCTGTATATAATAAAATCAAGTTATAACCTCTCCTGTGGTTTGTTTGGGTAGCGGGTAGATTTTAGACAGTCGGAGTTAGGGTTCTTTGGAAATAAAACTTTATTCTTACAATTTATATACAGATAAAAATATTTACAATATGTACATGAAAAGGTTCTGGTTAAATTTCGATTCATCGTGTCTTCAAATGTTGTTCCCCAAATTATATTTCGTGCGTCGGTTCGGTGTGTCTTAAGATGGGAATAGACCAAGCAAACATTGTTGAGCAACAGTTGAACAACAGTCGAACAACAAACGAGTTCACACAGTGTGTGCGTGTTGAGCACCAGTTGCGCAGCTGTTACCGATGTGTTGTGCGGTGTTCGCTCCCCAGGCAGTACATCAAAGAGAATGTTGTCTAAAGGTGGGTCCACATTGCTCGCGAACAGTGCGAACGAACACAACAAGCGCAACAAACGGAGCAAACAGCACGAATGAAACAAAAATCATATTCGTCGTGTTTGGACTGTTTGCAGCGTTCCTCGAGCTTGCAATCACCCAAAACACCTGTTTTGACTGTTCGGACGGGTAGCGGTACATCAAAGGGATGCATATTGCGCGCGTGAGCACAGTTGACGGCGGTTTGATGATTTTTTATTTTTACTGTTCGCTCTCAAGTTCAATCAAGTACGAGCGTACGAGCAAGGCGCAGTGCAATATGGAGTGGACTGAAGAAATTGGGCTTTACTAAATTTATCCTGTTCTGTGAAATCACAACATAAATTTTATAAGCTAAATAATAATAAAAAAAAATGGTGGTATTCTTTCTTTGGATATGTGGGCCAACTAAATTAATTATCATGGAGAAAATTACTTCTACTGTATTTGGATATACTTTTAAAAATATTTGACATCCAACACCGTCTTTATGTCACTTTTTTTCCTGTTCTCTCCGTAATAATAATAATAATAATAATAATAATAATAATAATAATAATAATAATAATAATAATAATACAATACAATACAATACATTTATTGACCCGTTTGATACATAATACAGTATTTGGAGTCCATATACACATGAAGAAGCTTAAACTTAAACTTAAAAGCTAAAATTTAGAATTTAGGTATTCCTCAACAGAATAAAAACAGTTTTCCACGAGGAAGTTTTTAGCTAACGTGTGGAATTTTCTGGAGGATAATCCCTGAATGTTTATTGCTGGAAATAAGCTATCAAATTTATTGTAGAGCCTTATGTCTAACTTATTTACATGTGTTAGCTGTATACGGCTATAAGAAGTTACCAGATTATCCGCTCCTCGTGTGTTATAATGATGTACCTCAGAATGTCTTGCATATTTATTCAAATTTTTATGAATTAGAATGAGTGACTCAAAAATAAATATACAAGGAAGCGGATGAATATGGTACTTCTTGAACAGCTCTTTGCAGCTTGCTTTATATTGAGCACCATCCACAATGCGCACCGCAGACTTTTGCATATAAACGCACTGGCAGCAGCCGTTAATGATAATTGATCATCCATGTTGGAACCGCAAACACAGAACTACAATGTGGACACTTTTGATTGCGATCATGAGCACGAGCGTGATCACGAACAGGAGCAATATGGACCCACCTTAACAGTGCGCACACAGCGTCGCTAGTTTAGACGTGTATACGGTATAATTTTATTTTAGCAGAAAAATAATGAGTGTGTAGTTCATTTCAAGCAGTGTGACGACTCGTATCGAAAGAGTTTTCATCCGTTATTAAAATTTAAAATGTCTCACAACTGGACTGAAGAGCAAACTCTATTGTTGATAGATCTTGTAAGAGGTTTTCCGAATATATGGAATCCAGAAAATTAGACTTATAAGAACAAAAACAAACGTACTGATGCATTCAAGAACATAGCTGAAGCTCTAGGGCTTTCGCGGGAAGAATGTGAGCGAAAATGGAAAGTTGAGAAAATCAATTTAGAAGAGAATATGTTAAAAGTGTCACAAAATCCGGCCAAGGATATAAACATTTAATGTTTTTAAAAGAAAAGCATAAGCCGAGACATACAAGAGATACTGAAGTCGAGGTAAGTAAGCATTATGTTTTATTGCCTGTTTACAGAATTATATTAATTATATTAACATTAGCACAAACAATATTATTTTTCATTCCATTTTGTCTTGCCACGGCACTCTTTCATTGGTTGAAAAATAACGCGCAAATTGTTCACAGACCACTTGTGCTACTCTGGTTGCTTTTCTACCAGTTCTCTTTACATTTAAAAATGTTTCTGAGGGTTTTGGTTCGTTTCGCCAGGTTCCAGGACTCAAAATTCCGGAGGAAGTATCTTCTTTATCATAGGTTCCAGGCGGACTGTACAAAACTGTGGCAGAACAACCTTTTCAGCATTATCAGGTTGCAGAAGCTTTTCGCAAGACTCGAAACACAGCTGACAGAACTACAAAAGTATTTTCCACTACTCGTCTTTCTCGTGATAACCTGTAATTAAATGAAAGTTGGAACGTCCCCTTCTCATGTTCTCCTGGAAATGGTTTTATTAAGTTTTCCTGGAGAGGAAACGCATCGTCACAAACAAACACAGGTGTTGTCCTGTCCTGTTGTCCTGGCAGCAGTTTTGCAGGTGGCAAATTTAATGTACTATCGTTTAGTTTCTTCGGAAAATCTATATTTTTAAAAATTCCACCATCGGAAATTCGTCCCTGGCATTCCACATTCGCATATAAAAATATATATTAGGCATCTACTACTGCCATAAGGACAATACTAAAAATGCCCTTGTAATTATAATATTCACTTCCACTTTAAAAAGGGGCTTGTACTACGACATGTTTCCCATCAATTGCTCCTACGCATTGAGGAAAATTCCACAGTTCTTCATAATCATGGGCAACTTGAATCCACTCCTCGGGCGAAGCGGGTAACTGAAAAAAAATAGGTACATAGTAAGAAATGTCCAACTAAGTCAACAATTTCATTATTAACTTAAGTTCCCTTATTTTGGTTATTTATCGAGATCCCCATACAACTACTTCAATTTGAGATACCCTGTATAACCATTATATTCAACAACCTCTTTTAACTTTAGAAGCGCTTTTAAAACCTATTTAAAGGACAATTTTTAAAATTCGTACATAGAAATCCGCAGTTAGAAGCGATTTTTTTTTATTCCCTATATAGAAAATACGATTTTGCTTCCTCTAGTGGTGGAGCAAAATACCACCCTCCCTAGGGAGCGAAATATTTTTTTCTCCCTAGGGAGCAAAATGGTACTTTTATTCCTAAGGAGGAAAATACTTTTACTCCCTAGTAAAGAAAAATACTTTTGTTCCGTAGAAAAATTCAGATATATTATTCTGAAGCAAAGTGCCATTTCCTCCCTTAGATTTTAATCACACTCTCCGAGGGAGGAAATGATGCATTTTGCTCCCTTTTTATATAAATAGCTATTAAAAGAGGATGATGAATACGGTCTTTTCAAAGATTGCTAAAATTTTGACACCCCTTGGTTTTTGCAATATTTTAATTGGAAAAACACAAGAGGAGGACACATTACAATCAAAAATTATTTTTAATGAGGATTCGTCCAACACTCATGTAGAACCATCGCGTGAAACAGTGACAAAGGTTTTACCACTAAGACAGGAAACCTCTGCTTATTTTCAACCTTATGAATCAGAGCCATCTCGTGACACCGTGAGGCAGTTGGCACCACCAGAAAAGAAGACGTCGGGGAAGCGCTCCAGTCTTCTGATTCTCAAATTGACGAAGGTTTTGAAAGCAATAAAAGCACTAACAGGAAACCGATCAAAAAGGGACAGCTTTGACGTATATGGCGAACACGTAGCAAATAAATTAAGAACGTATAAGGCATTTATTCGATCTAACGTAGAACAAAAAATTAACTGTCTTCTCCATGATGCTGATACGCAAATGATCTACCAATCACAAGAACAGTGGAATCAAAGGCCAACATATTTGCCACCAGTAAGTGTATCTAGTGCAAGTTCCTCATCTTATCCATCACCATTTCCATTTCCACATCCAGGAAATCAGAAAGCGTTCGACATTCTGTAGAGGGACAGGAAGATGGCTTTATTGATGCTCTACTTGCATCCCAAAACCAACAGGGAGATAACTATACAGAATTGTAATAAAAACTATGTTATCTACCTACTTATTTGAATAAATAATAAGAAAAGACTTTTTTACCTGGATCTCATCCTTCAAAGCTTCAATTTCACTTCGCATACTTCCGGAATTATAGTACCAATTAACAGCTTCGATATGCGAAAAAGGTACATTAGACTGACATACGAATCTCCTGTGGCTAAAAACCGTAAAGTTACCAATAATCTTGTCTTGACACATATTGGTTCTCGATAGTTCGTATGTTTTTTTTGCAAATTTAGGACCAATCATTACAATGAGTTTTTCACATGTAATTGTATCCATTCGAGAGAAATTATTGAACAACTTGTTGTCCTCCATTCTTAATTTTGTTAGCGAATATACGTCTTAGCTACCACCTTTGCTTTTTACGGCCTCTTCGTGATAATTTTATTTTTATAAATAAGAACGCACACCACGCGAGTACAGCATCTTCTTTGTCGCTCATTTTGGCACCGGCTAAACGAACACCGGACAAACACTGGAGAAAATAGGTAGGTCGATGTTGACAAACAGTTTGTCGACAATGTTTTCTCCCCAAGTAAACAAGTTTGCAAACAGCTGCCTAAGTGTTGTTCAACTGTTGCACAACAATGTCTGCTTGGTCTATTCCCACCTTTATAGGTCCAGGATGGTGTGGCGAAGAAGAGACAAGAGCGTAGGTTACCTTTATGGTGATGGAAGTCCCTCAAAGTCAGTACCTTCGAAGGAGAGATTTACGGGGAAGGAAAACCTACAAAGTCAATACCTTTGTACGTAATGGTCGGGACGTCGGAAAGCCTACAGAGTCAATACCTCTGCAGGAGCAGGAGAGGAGAGTCAATACCTTAGTTTGACTGACGAGAATTAAATTCGGAGGTCTTTATATACTTGTCCCTGCTTGGCAAAAACGGCTGCGTGCTGAACCATAGGCGTCCCTAGAACGGTGTTACTGGGGAACATCGTTACAAAGTTTAAAAATGAAGAGGTTAATTAATTATTATTACCAAATTAATATCTTGGTACTTAAATCAAGTGTTATTCACTGTTGGGATCTAATTTTCTGAAAAACAATATTTCGTTCCATATTTTTTCCAAATATGACCTTGTTGCATCTATTGTGCAAGCTCACAAACCACAATTATTTTAATTCTCCTTGTAGGAACGTTTTTTAAACCGTCAAATCCGTTTTCATTATGTCAGTTCCTTTGGAATGTTTAAGTGTTTTTTAATAGTTGAAATTTAATTTTACCTGTCAAATCAAGCACTACCTGAAACGTCATAACTTATACCCAGTGACAAAATTATACCGCAAAAACGATAGAGACTAACCATCGGATTATAGAAAGAATACATCGAATACTAAAAATCCCAATAGAATATGGCATCTGAGTTACAAATATGTCAATTATACGTGACTGAAAGTGTAAATCTCGAAATTTATTGATGGCCTTCTTCCGAGTTAATCCTCCTTTCAAAAACTTAATGGGTTGGGCTGAGCTGGAGTGTTATCTTTGATGATTAATAAAATTTGAAAAATTGGTTTCTACCTAGACCTTTGCTTGGGTTAATTATGGATGACAAACTCCTTATTAAAAATGATTAACGAAAAAACTAATTTTTAAATAAAACTAAACAAAATTATTACAAACAACGAATACAATTAGATAATCAAAATCCTAAACGGTTGTGGAATATTGTACCGGGTGTTCCATTAAGAGAGGTAGCCGGCTATATTTCAGAAACTAATAATAGTACAGCTTTGGAGAAAAAAACATTTTTAATAAAAACTGCCCAGAGAATTTGCTGGAAATTATTTTAAACTTTGTAGGGTAGCCGCTAGGGGGCGTAATTGATAATTATTACTATTTTAATCTTCAATGTTTTCTGAACAAAAAAGCTTCTGATGTAATTTTTGTCAGTTGTGAAATAGAGTGGTGGGGGAAGGTTAAACTTTAATTTGGAGAAATGCTCAATAGTCTGGTTTAACTATGCCGAATTTAGTAAACTTAGTTTCGTTTAGAAGAGCTTTTTCAGCCTCATTTTTAGCTTTATGGCTGCTTACGTTTTAGGAACGCCGCTAGAGGACGTTAAGTTAAAAACTGACAAATTTTACGAAATTTTTCAAAAAAATTTAAATACAACGATATATACCACCTTTTTACATAGTTAGATAGAGAAAAAAAGCCCAAAACTTTGGCGAAAACCGCATTTGGATATCTCTTTTCAAACCGTAGATTTTAGCAAAAATATAAATAAAACGTAGAAACGTAATACATTTAATGACCCAGCATTTTCTACTAGGTCCATTTTTTAAGGTATAAATCAAATTTATAAATTTCTGCAAAACCTAATGCCCAACCATGATTTTTATATATTTTAAATAATCGAACGATATTAGATAAGAATGCATAATTACTTATAAGTATAATAATCCATTCAGCGTATATATTTGTATATAAAGTAACCCAGGCAGCACACTTTGGTATAAATTACGTATTTTTTTAGGTACTACCATACGTATGAATACGGTTGATGTACTACCAAATATATTCGTGAAAATGTCCGCCTTATAAACGTCGATTACTAAGAATTTATCCACCTATAATTAAACGTTTTTACTATACGTCTATATTAGATTTATAGTTGTAATATATTTATACGAATTCACTTTGGTATAAAATACGTTTTTCTACACCCGTATTATAATAATGCACTTATATGCCCATAATCCGTTTCATAATGATACCCATTATGATACAGATTTTTTATTACGATACAGATTTTTAATCAATAGAAACCTACAATTTTTCAATCAAGCATGCTGTTTGACGTTTGTCCTAGGTTCCTATGTAATTATTTTAGTTGTCAAAACGTATTAAATTTTCGTAGGTAGCTAAACTTCGATAATTATAATATTAAAATGTCTGATATTAGCGATATAGAAGACTCCTCCACACGTATCGGAGAAAGCAGAAAATACAGTACAAAATATTTTACCGCAAAAATCTAGGGAAATACCAATACCTGAAGTAATACCATTAATTACAATTTTGTAGAATTTTTTATAGAAATACGAGTAATTACTGTTATTGTGTTCAATACCAATATAAATATAATATTTATAGGTCTTGATTATTTATCGGGTGTAGAAAAAATAGCGTATGCAACTCTCATGTAATGGTTATTAAAACACTCGCATAAACCATACGAAACTCGCCTTTGGCTCGTTTCGTATCCCGGTTAATGCTCGTGTATTAATAACCATCATTACATGATCGTTGCATAATATACTATTTTTTATGTACTGCAATATACGTATGGATACTGTTGATATGCTACCCAATATATACGTGAAAATGTCCGCCCTATAAATGTATATTTTTTTATTTTTTATACGTCTAATATTACTACTTTATCTACCTTTAATTATTCTGTTTTACTATACGTCTACATTAGATATATTTGTATGATTTTTATTAATGTATAAAATGCGTCTACCTGATATTGTTTTAAATGTATTTCAAACACAAATTAAATAAAGTGATCAAAACAAAATTTCTAAAAGGGGCCATGGAAAAATGTTAATATTTCTTAAATGATAGTTTGGATTTTATCCATAGCAGGTGTGTATACACCAGAAATAGGCATTACTCGTGTTTTTATTTTGGTTGTAATTTGCCTAAATATTTAGAAAAAACATTTGATCACTTGTTATATGTATAGAACAATACTTAATTAAAAAAAATAAACAATAAAATACTAAAAAACAAATAAATACAAAAAAATAAACACTAAAATACTAAATAACAAACTAAACGAAACTTTTCTTTAACAAAAAATATATATGAAAATTAAAATATTAGCTTAACACTTTGGATGTGTTGTGTCCTAGACGGGCCTTAGCTAACTTAAGCTAATCTTGCATGGCACATCTAATCGTTCGGTCGGTTAAGTCGCTTCCTATAACCTATTCCTATAACCAAAATATTACTCAATTTCAGGTGAAATATTTTCTAAAAGCTCCGAAGTTAAATTTGTATTATTTTCTTGGTAATTATTATAAATAATAGAATCAGATGATATATTAATGTCCGAAGCCTTATTAATGTTATCTTTATTGGGAATAAAAAAAAAATTGATTTGACTTTAAAGCGCTATTTTTCTACGTAGATGACGTAGAGCATGTAACGTTCATTTTTGGCCCCACGAATTAATAAAATTGTTTTGGCTTACCTGGTTAATCATACGAAAAAAAGGTTAAAATCGTATGGATGATATCACTATTATTTTGGTCATTAACTAATTTCACCTGTATTCTAACTTTCGGACTTCATTATTATAATTTATTTCATCTCACCACTAAGTAAAAGGATAGTAGTTCTCCTAAAAATAGACAAAGTTTCGTTGTAAATTTATACATATTATGTATTATAGTCTCACCTTTGGGTAATTAATTATTTACGATACCATTCTTTAAGATTTTCTTTATTTTTGTTTATAGCTGTCAGAATTGGATTAATGTTTATTAATTATGACAGTGAATGACATAAACGTCATTTGACGACAGAACACCGACAAGTGTCATGGTTGTAGGACGTTCCAATATCGGGCTCAGAACCCGAGGTAAGGTAGTTTCACAATGAGCGATTTTAAGTCGTGAGGGATTTTTTTTGCGATCGCTGTTGTATTAATTTTTGTCGGGAACAGTTTCCCAAATGTAGTTATACTGTATATAAATATAGTTTTTAGGGTACCTTTCGTAAATGGTCTGTTAAGTTATATAGTGGGGAATTCTTGAGGATGAATTTCTGAACCCACTTGACATTTATCGGAAAGGGATTTCGGCCATTTTGGACGGCTGACGTATTGTTTTTTTCTGTCAGTGGGTATTCAGTCACGAGAGACGATTTTTGTGTCGAAATAGA